CAAGGTCAGAGGTTCAAGCTCACCAGCTGCTCCTCAAAACCTCTACATAGGGTCACTATAGGTCAGAGTCGACTCGACGGCACTTCACAACAACAACAACAACACATATGTATATCTATACACACATGCTCTACAACCTATGTATCAAACTTTAATTAGTAACTGGTGGTAGTGATTGTATGCCATCACTTCCGACTTATAGAGACCCAGTGTAGAGTTTCAGAGATTGTAAATCTTTACAGAAGCAGAAAGCCTCATCTTTCTCCTGCAAAGCAGCTGATAGATTCAAACTGCTGAACTTGCTGGGTTAGTAAGCCTGGCTCATAATCCACTACAGTACCAGGACTCCTTAAATGATAATCGGCATAAGGGAATCTATAAGGGAGCAATGTGGTTTATGGGTAAAAACATCAGGTCACAAATGAAAAGACAAGTGTTATTGAGAGTAGCAATAATAGCAGCCATCAATTATTTTGTTTTTAGTTTGTGCCAATAATTGTTTTAGACTTTTCCCCTATTGCCAATTTCATCCTTGCAACAACTCTATTGAGTAGATAATGCTGTTATTACTGTTACACTGATGAGGAGACAGAGGGTCAGAGAGGTTAATCAACTTGTTCAAGGACACTGATTGAACTTGGAAGTGGGAGAGCTGGGATTCAACTCCTCGAAATTTAACTCTGGAGCCATACTATTAACCGCTTTGGTAAATTGCCTTTTGATTAGCAGTTCTACCCTTGCTAAGCTACTCTGGCCAGCATCCTTTATTTATTTTTCAGTCTATTCAAATGATTTGATACCTGCCATCTCTACTTCTCTAAAGTTGTATCCATGATTAACTGAAATAATATTTTTAAAAGCACTTTAGCAGATAATGTGCTCCTCAAATGTGAAGTGACACAATGGCTAGTTTTTCAAAGCAATGGACCATTAAATGGTCAGCAATGGGGGTATTTTGTATTCTAATAAACAAAACCACAGTAATAGGTTTGTTTTAGATATACATACATTAGTTCTTCCCAGAATTCAAGAACAAGTGAAAGCTCAAACTGCCTCTGCACACACTCAGTTGGAATACACAGGCGTATTTCTGGAAACTGGGAAGAACTGCTGTAATTGTTTGCATATGCAGACATTGTCTCAAATATGAATTTGCTGTCTCAGAGATTCCCTTGTCATAACTTCCCAAATGACACAAGCAGTACTTTTTTGTAATCTCCATATTTGACGCATGAAAGAAGACTTAATTCCTGTTTGAATAAACAACATAATAAGGTTATTGAGATTAGAGACCATTACTATATAAAATTATGTCTAAGTGGCAGATATAATTAACATTGGATTGTAATTACACTAATTACAAGTCACATTAAGACACTCCAGTAATGACAAAGTGAGAACCCTATAATTGAATGGAATAAGTAGGGAAACATGCTGCTCACACTAATTACCTAAATGAGCTAATATGTCTTCAGAGTGACAGTCATGCTCAATGTTATTACGCAGAC